CGTTCATGCCTGTGCAGACCTGTGCTTTCTGTTGGGGTCATTGTTTTTGCGACTGTGCAACAAGTTGCTTTTGGTGTTAAGTGTTAGTATGGCGACAAACGAAATTACTTACGAATTTATTGATTTATATGAAAATGAACCCGCGTTATGGAATACAAAAAGTCCCACCCATAAAAAGAGAAACGAGCAGCACTATTCGTGGAGTCGTATCCAAGATAAATTAAAAGACAGTATTGGTGACATTACGATTACGGAAATAAAAAAGAAAAGGGACAATTTGATGTAAACCTATAGAAAATTAAGGATTCTATGAAGACTGGAAGTGGTGCACACGAAATTTACGGACCGCGAGAAGCCACCTTAAGACGCTGATTACGATTATAAAAAAATTCTTAAGGGTATCTGGAATGCAAAAGTAGGTTTTTTGGATCTTTCTGTTGATCGAAACGAAAAACTGACATCAGTTTAGTCGTTTTCGTACAAGGTTTATAAGAAAACAGGTTTTGGTGTCGGTTTTTATCCCAAGATTTCTAATCCAACTGACTCAATCCTTATTATTTTTTTCATCTTCCAAGTACCCCATCTTAGAATTATTGTTAAATTCATCAAAAAGAATTATTTGTCATAGTGGAGAATATACACTACAACGGGAGTTCTACAAAAGTGTTTTCATGTACTTTTAAATAAACTAACCTTTGATATTAGACTCTTTTTCTCACGAAATCTTGTCCTGCGATGCACCTCAAAGGATTTTGCTACCAACGCTAGGCAACATCGCAGTCGTCCGGCACAGATCGACTACTAAGAATACGAACGACTGTCTCATGACAAAATCGCATAAAGGGTCCGGAATGAGAGCGTGTGAGTGATAGCGTGTGCTTTATCAGCTGAGACTGAGAATGAGGAGACATTGCAGCGGACGAAGACTGGCATGATGATGGCGTGGCATGGCGCTGCCATTTCCGAAGAAGTGCTGCAGTAGCTGTATGGTACTACTTGCACGAAACACTGATCGGGAGATACGAAGACGCAGGTGGAATAAGTTATACTACACTCAGCTGCAAAGTAAATGCTCCAGGAGGACAGTGCCTATGTTAGTAGTGCCAGAGACGTAGCGAAAATAGGAACTTTGGAAGTGGAGTGGGGCATCCTTCCCCAAAGAAGGATCAGTGTCGATGAGCGGATTTTTCGCCCCCGAAAATAACTCAAATTTCATATTGTTAGGAAATGTTTTGAGTTCAAACTTTCCAGAAAGTATATATTGCAAAGCTTCATGCATCTTCATTCCAGTTCAGAACTTGATTGTACTTTGAAATCTCAAACTCAACAATTTTGTTATTTCTGCCAAAATCCACACATTTTCAACTATTTTATTTACTGTTTTTATATGAGCGTATGATCGTTACTTTTCTTACTTCAAATCTATAATAAAACAAACTGAGACACAACACATGTACAAAAATTAATTTGTTGTGCCATTGCGCTCACAATAAAAAGTTGAAGTCTTATTATCCCTTTGTATTTATTTATCCTTCTGTCATTTTTATGGTGGACGCAATTTTTTCAATGAGAAGTTAAATAATGATTATAGTAAATTGTCACAAATAATTCTTAGAATTATATGAAGATTTTTAGAAAAATTAGGTTGTTTTTGGATACTAAAAATATCTGTCACCAATGACATATCTAGTGACAAGGAATCGCGAAAAAAATACCCTGACATCTGACTTACGAAGTGACCTGAAAATTATCGAAAAATTGGCAGATAGGTCAGAGATTCCGAGTTCCATAACTTGCAAAAACGCAACCGATAATTGTCGAGTCGGCATAAGACGACAAATTACAGCAAATCAACAGATAACTTGGAAATTACGACTGGTAAGTGTAGCACGTTGCATTCAAGGCATTCTGACTTCATAAAATACCATGCGTCAGTCAACCCGCTTACCCCACTACCATAGACGTAGCAGCAGCATGGTACGAATGTTTTCCAAAAAGACAAAATCTAGGCGAAGATCAAATTCGAAAATAACGTACCATTAATACATCAGGTAATTTAATCTGCAGAAGACCGAACTAATAGAGAAGGTAAGTAAAAGAGTTGTCAACTTTTAACAAAATGCTGAATGACCTGAGTTGATACAAGTTGGAAGTACATTTAGAAAATTGGCTAACCATCGTCGGAATATGCATCAATAAGCCTCTGAGTACTAAAAATCGTGATTTACAGCTAATCATCTGAATAGATTCAAGATGTCCAAAATTCGACTTCTAATTAAAGAAATCTAAAAATAAATGTGATATAGCTGAAAAAAGAAGTCAAAAAGATACAGATGCTTAGTGTTTGCAAAATACGGAATGCCCGCCATCGACGAACAGCTTCCTGACAACAATGACTGCTGCGAGCTGCGACAACCGCCTTTGAATGCTCCTAATCTGAAATCCACATCTGCTTACCATCGACAAATAATGCATATTAGATGTACGAGGAGGTACCCAAAAATAACCGTAATAGCATTGCAGTGAGCGGAGCTTGTGTAGTACACATTTCTGCTCCTAGAGGCGTACAGCGCAACTCGTTACCAGTTCAGTGGCACCTGAGTTGTCGATCTGGCTTGTTTCGTTCCTCTGTATTCATTATTTTTGCTACACCTGTTTCGTGCTTGTTTCGTTTTCTACGATAGCAAGCTTCAGTGAGCAACGTGCACCTGAAAAATTTTGCTTTCTAATTGGTAAAAATGCTGCTGAAACTGTTTTAATGTTGAAACTAGCTTACAAAGATGATGCATGGGAAAAGCTCAGGTGTACGAGTGGTTTGCTCGATATAAAAATGGCGACATGTCGATTAAGGACAAACCTCGCTCTGGACGACCATCAACTGACCGAATCGACGAAAATGTCGAAAAAATCGAGAGCTGCGTGCAGACCGTCGACTGACAATCAATCAACTATCTGTAAGTAGTGGGTTGTCCTGGAGTTCGGTTCAGCGAATTTTATCAGAAGATTTGGAATGAAAAGGGTTGCTGCCAAGTTTGTTCCTCGGGCTCTGACTGACAATCAAAAAGAACACCGAGGTGAAACATGCCGTACTTTGAAACAACAGCTTGAATTTGATCCAAAATTTCTGTGACCTAGCTCTGTACGACATTTTCTTATTTCCACGGATGACAAGGGGCATTAAAGGACGCCGCTTTGATGATATTGAAGAGGTCAAGAAAAACGAAAAAACGAGGGAGGAGCTGTCAGACATTTCCAAGGAAGACTACAAAAAATGTTTCGAGCAGTGGGATCACCGGTGGGACAAGTGTATTAGTTGCAGTGGACAGTATTTTGAAGGAGATTAGGTTACTTTGTGAAAAAATTGAAAATAAATAGCTTTTAAAAAATAATCCCGGTTTTTTTGGTACCCCCTCGTATATTAAATGTTTCACAACAGCAAATTCATGTTTTTTTAAGAAAAATTGAGCGCTGTGTTATATTGAAAATTCTAAAGAAATAATGTGTCACTCTGAAAGCACTGACACTTTGATGCATACAATGTTAATCTTTTTGCTTTTAACTTTTTCAATAATTTGATGAATTTTCTTGTTAAGTTCTTGAAAAAAGGCGTGGTAAACGTAATCACACATGAATCCGTATTGTAGAGAGAAGCCAGCAAGACTGGCAAGAGTTGGCAAAATGTTAAAAAGTAAAAAACCTCTTAGTGTTCATTGTTTTCCACTTAGGCTTCAATTAGTTACCTTGCGAAAAATTTAGTTGTACGAGGGATGTCTTTTGAGTTTTTTTGCATATAGAAACATAGTAGGCCGCGTGGATCGAACGTCAGTACTGAATCTTAACCTCACACTTTAGTAAACTTAAATTCAAAGTTTCACAACAATACGTGCAGTGTTCTCACTACAGTGAATTTTTAAGTGTCACCAAGTCATTAGGAAAATGGAACTTAACCGAGAACATTTCGCGCCATAATTTATTACAACTTTCAGATACAATTATCGCAACAAGAATGCCTTGCTGAGTTACTGTCTGTTTTGGGCATCTAAGCGCCACATCAGTCGACAATTTCCCGTTGGTAAGCAGAATTCAAACGTCGACGGGTGAGTATTAGCGACGATCTCAGGGTGGGTGCACCAAAAACGGCAGTCACCCAGGAAAACGTCGATGCTGTGCGCAAACTCATCATTGAAGATAGACATGTGACATATCGCGAGATTGAGGCGTCCTTGAAGATCTCAAAGACCTCAATTCAAAAATTTTACATGAAGAATTAGGAGTAAGAAAATTAGTTTCTCGTTGGATACCCCACCTGTTGACTGAAGAATAGTATGCAGCCAGGGTTAATTGGTGTCAAAAAACGCTTGACCGTTTCAATTCCGGAAACTCAAAAAATGTATACAGCATTGTTAGTGGTGATGAATCGTAGATTTACTGTTATGAACCAGAAAATAAACGACAGTAGGCTGTAGCTCGCACACAGCCCAAAAAACAAGGCAGTATTTAACGGAAGAAAACGTGGAATTATTGGACCATCCTCCATATAGTCCCCATCTATGTCCTACCGATTTCTTTACTTTCCCGAAAATTAAAAACAGGCTGCGTGGTCAAAGGTTCCAGTCACCAGAAGAAGCAGTTGACGCATTCAAAAATGCCGTTTGGATCTGCCATCAAACGAGTGGAATAAGTGCTTCGAAAATTGGTTCGAGCGCATGCAGAAGTGTATTAATCTTCGTGGAGAATACATACATCCCTCGTATCATAATAATGTTTTGGTAGTCATTTAAGAAAAACTAAGTTTCAGTGGCATTCTCTAGTAGCGTGTATCTCTCGCCAAGGACAAAGTAGACTGAGCATAATCCAAAGGATGACCTTTTATCCCATATTGCAGAAACGCTGTGTACAGAAAGAAGTAAATTGCTGCGGTTGTATAAAAGGAATCTTTAAGTTACTTGGATATTTCTCTAATTACAAAGTACCTCTTTGCTCTCTTGATACATAAATACCTATATCACTTGCAAATGCACCCTGTAAGTACTTAGTAGGTGCATATTCATCACTGCTCCGTCTACTCATACCACGTATCCATTCACAAGATGCATCTAGAGTATCGAAGCGTGCATAGGCGATGCTTTTCCACATTCCAGCAAGATATTCATGAATGTAGTAATCATCATCGACAGATCTGTTATATGCATACGTGACTACTGCGAAATCCGGAACATAACCAGTCACGGCATTTTAAATATCCACGGAAAATATGCATGTGTTCCCATTTTGCTACCGCTTATGGATCCGATAATAAGCCAGTTAGCCAGAGAGAGCTACTATTAACTGATAAGTACGCTAGAGTGGGGCTACTACGTTCATAGATCCCAGGAGTATTTTAGGAAAAATCGCATCAAGTAGATTGACTCTGCCCATCCCACGCAGCTCTGGACAAATTGATTTTGATATTATGCAGCATGTATACAGGGTGTAAAGTTAGTAAGTGGATCAACGAAAGGTCATAGAGGGCCTCAAAACCAATCGAACTGAACCCCTATATGTGTGGTCCAAAATTTTATAGTTCAGGAGATATTTGCAATTTTGTTAAATTACGAAAAAAAACGGGATAATCAACTTTTAATCGCAATTACAATTAAACCATTAGGCTTAGGGCTATGATTTTTCTTCTGAAATGAGCTAAATGTTTAGTTTCAGCAATGTTTATGTCACTTTTTAACAGACCTAATTAGAAAACAACGCAAAAGATCTTAAATTCATTTTTTTTGTAAAAAATCTCTTCCATCCCTCAACTTTGGAGGGCGGTAAAAAAAATGAGGTTGTATGTCATTATTTATTATATTGTAAAAACTATTTCAATCCAAGTAGAATAAACCCTTAAAATTTCAGCGTACTACGATAAGTTCCTCACCTTAAAGAATCTGTATGTATGACGCAGGCGGACATCTATACATGTAAACAAGAAATTCTAATTTATGAGCTACAGCGACTTGATGGATGGAGGTACTGTTAGATTCGTCCTAGCAGTGCGAGTATATTGTGTGTATTAACATTTTGTAAAACCAAAATGGCGGATTTTTTACGCAAATAGCCAAATCAATTTAATGAGCTTGGGCATTCAACTCGGCATTCCAGGTGCGGGAGCATTCAATCTTCGGTCCGACCAAAATTACTAAGTCAGGCAATGGTCCAGCGCGGAATTTGTATCTAACGTTTGGCAACTGCGTAGAATCATGTCATATTCTCCGTGCCCGAGCAGCTGCTCGCCTGTATCGGGAGTATGTGGTATTGAATTATTATTTTAGTTTTTCTTAAATAATTGGGTCAAGGTATACATAGTGCATAATATCTGCGCAATGTTAGTATCCCTGGTATCATTATATCGTAGTGCATCGTCGACAACCTCGATGACTCTGCGGCCAGATGCAGCATCAACGTTGGTGAATTTGGCAGGCTTTATTATGTATAAAACATATTCAAGGTGGCCGATATACAGGGTTATCCAAATTAAGTGTCCACCATCAGTAATTTTGTTATTAGTGAAAATACAAAGTTGTTTGAATTAGCAAACTAGTAGCATTTTTAATGCTGGTAAAAATGAGAAATAAAAAAAAAACAATTGAGAGTCGTTATTTTGATTTTTTTCAGTAAAATAACATTTTTTTAAATGGAAACCCCTGTATATTATATTTTTTTCTGTTAAAGCATCAAATTTTAAACAAAAAAGTTGATAATGACTTTTCCGCTAAGGTCAAAAATAAAGTCAAAATAACGATAAATATTTTTAATTATTTGCTGTATTATAATATTAAGACGGCTATGAAAACAACATGGCGTTCGCGATTTGACAGCATTAAGATAAGCGACAAATTGTTAAACTGGACATACTCGCAACTAGAAGGCTTTGGAAAACAATGATAAAATCAAATAATGTCAAACATTAGTGTAAATACTTGTTTATAAGCTTTATTGTGTCATTAATTTAAAGAAAAATGTTCTCCCATGAAGAAAAGTGTGATATGTTAGAATGCTATTTAGTGTGCAGAAAATCCTCCTTGAGAGCAAGAGAATACTACAGTGAATTATATCCCGCTCGCATTCAACCGTATGAACGATATTTTCTGAGACTTTATCGAAAATTTAGGGGAAACGAAAATGTTTTTGCTAAAACAAGGGCAAAAAAAGGATTCATAATAAGCGAGGCCACGGAAATTGCAGTTATTGGATATTTTGAAGCTTATCGTGAGAATTCAATAGCAGATATTCTCAAGGACTCTAATTTCAGTTATGGTACTGTTCAAAGGATTTTAAAAAAATACAAATTTATTCCGTATAAGTACCGACCAGTTCAAACGCTTTTGGCAGGGGATCCAGAGAGAAGACTTGTTTTTTGCCATTGGTATCTTAGCTTCTGTCGCCAAAATGTAAATAACTTTCGTTACCTTTTATGGACAGATGAATCAAATTTTTCAAATTCTGGAATGTTTAATAGAAAAAAACACCATTATTGGTCAAGAGAAAATCTTTTGTTAGTACATCCAAGAGGACCACAAGTCCGTTTCAGTTTCAACGTTTGGTGCGGTATAATTGGTTCAAAAATTGTTGGCCCGTTCTTTTATGAGGGAACCCTAACTGGTGAAAGATATGTGGAATTTATGTCAGAAATTCTGACTAATTTCTTAGACGAATTGGATCTTATAAGTAGACATCATCTGCATTTTCAGCAAGATGGCGCACCTGCCCACAACTCCAGAGGTACTTATCATTTTCTAAGTACTACTTTTAATGATCTGTGGATAGGAACAAATGGCCCAATACAGTGGCCTCCCAGATCACCAGATCTAAACCCACTTGATTACTTCTTGTGGGGTTACTTAAAGAACCAAATTTACAAGCGAAGGTACGATAACCTTGACGCGTTAAAGACTGCAGTTAGGGAAAAGATAACCCAGATAGATGGTAGGACCATACTTAAGACAGTTCGAGCAGTTGAAAAACGTGCCCAAAAATGTATTGAAGAACAAGGTGGTGTTTTCGAGCATCTTCTTTAAAAAAAATTGTTATTGTATTTTGTAAGATTATAAGTTGATGTTGAAAATAAAGTTTGTCGATACAATTTAATTGTTTCAGATTGGAGGCCATAACTTCAACAATTTGTAACCTAGGAGAAAAGTTATTGTAAGCTTTTTTGTTTAAAATTTGATGCTTTAACAGAAAAAAATATAATATACAGGGGTTTCCATTTAAAAAAAATGTTATTTTACTGAAAAAAATCAAAATAACGACTCTCAATTGTTTTTTTATTTCTCATTTTTACCAGCGTTAAAAATGCTACTAGTTTGCTAATTCAAACAACTTTGTATTTTCACTAATAACAAAGTTACTAATGGTGGACACTTAATTTGGATAACCCTGTATATCTGACTGATTCAAATTGCGCGCCATTTTTGATACACGCATTTCGGTAGATGGGGCCGTAGTGGTTTTTTAAAGCACATGTGTTCAATTCCTCTTGGAGCGCTAGACGATCCCACAACGCGTCCGTATTGTTAAAACATTTTACTTAAATAATGAGTCGACTGTTGCAACGATTCGGAAGCTACGACAAGATTTCGGTAGAAATAATCAGCGTCAACACTATTCGTCAGTTGGTGCGGAAAGTTGAACAAATAGGTGAAGTAAAAGACTTGCCAAGGTCGGGCCGTGTTCGAACTATCCGTACTTCGGAAAATATCGAGAGAGTTCGTCAAAGTGTTGTGGAGCGCCCTGAGACGTCTACCAGACATCGTTCTCAAGAACTGGGCATTCGTCGCACGTCATTATGCACTATTTTAAAAAAGACTTTCATTTGCAGCCATACAAAATTCAGTTAACCCAAGAACTACAGCCTAGTGGCCATGAAAGTCGCCGACAATACAGTCATGCAATATTGCAGCTTAATACCTAAAATAACGATTTTTACCGACATCTAATAATGAGCGATGAAGCCCACTTCGATATGAGCGGATTTGTTAATAAGATGAATTGTCGTATCTGGCCAATAGAGAAGCCTTGTGTCTTGTGTCATCCATCAACGACCACTACATCCTCGTCGAGTCACAGTTTGGTGCGGTGTTTCGTATGGAGCTATCATTGGACCTTACTTCCTCGAAGACGCTGCAGGTAATTATCTTACTGTCACTGGTGAGCGCTACCATGATATGGTGCAAAACTTTCTGGCTCCTCAAATCCAACAATTTAACCTACAAAACATGTGGTTCCAGCAGGACGGAGCAACTTTTCACACAGCTAGGGAAACAATGAATCTTTTGCGAACAATATTTCCGGGGCGCTTAATTTCTCAATTTAGTGATGTCAACTGGCCACCAAGGTCCCCAGATTTAACGGCTCCTGACTTATTCTTATTCTTCCCAAAACCTACCAAAAAGTGATGGAAAATGTAATCAAGAGCGCACAGATTTGCGCGGCTTCTAGACGTGGATATTTGTCTGATATTATTTTTCATACATAACTTCTAAGTTTCAGTAAAAGATTAAGATGAAAGAAATGGACGTATTTTATTTCATTTCACAAATATTCAAGATACAAGCCAGTCAGTTACATATCGGCCACCCTGTATAATCTCGAAAAAGTCGATAAAATGCACTACGTAGCCGCTATTTTGCCGCTAATTCATTTCGCGCTTACTACAAGTGAGCATTTAGTGATCAGACATCGGACCCCCTCATGTAAAGAATCGCGTGTTTCTGATTTCCTGAAGTCACAGACATAAATATTTTGCAAAGTATGTGGTGTTATGCCTAACAGCTGGGTAATGCTACCGGGCTCACAAATTTCTAAATAATAAAACACCTTTCACTGATACCACAAGCCCGTTCAACCCCCTATCACCTACGACTGCCTACCCCCTACAGCCCCTATTCCCTAAAACTTCATTTTTACTACAGCCTTCTATCGTTAACAACCCTATATCCCTTACAACCCCTTATCCCTTTGAACCCCTCTATCTCTGTCAAGACCCTATCTCATACAATCCCTATTATCAATTACAACTCCATATCCCCTACAGCCTTCTATCTTCCACAGCCCCATATCCCCTAAAACACCTTATACCTTACAAACCCCTAACTCTGAAATTTCAAAAAAATCAATACCGAGCGATTCTTATTCCCCTCGTTA